AGAGAGAGAGAGAGAGAGAGAGAGAGAGAGAGTGGTTGGACAGGAAAAAATAAGGGGGGCTGGGGAGGAAGAAAAACGTTTTGCTAATGAATTCGATAGTAATACAGAGATGACTTTTAAACGTCTTGTATTTCTGTGATCACGCCAGACAGGTACCGAGAGAAAATATACATAATGATAATACTACCCTGTATTATTTCGAATTCCACCCTCACATAACCATAGGCCATACACGTAAGTAAGTGATGTGATGTTCAGCCTTTGGCGTGTGTGGGGGTGGGGGCGCTCAGCTAAAAATTTAGGGAGAAAGAAAAACGTACCGATGTTTTTATTTCCAACACCAGGTACATGTTTCTGGAACAGATAAAGGGGATAGCAGAATATTGTCGCTGTTGTTTTTAAATCTACCCACTTCGAGAAATCAAAACTGAGTCGTATCCTCCGACAACTTAAACATTAAAGCGATAAAACTGAAAGTTTGCACTCTTGCCAATTCTTCCAGGGCAATGCAATGTAAAAAAGCCTATGTCTCTTTCCAAATCTTCAATTTATCGGAAGATTCACCACCAGAAACGAACACATAATTCTATCAGTAAAATATACGGGAGATGATTCACGTTGTACATGTATTTGCTGGCATTAACAGATAACCGTGACTGTTAGTTCAGCATGTGGCAGAGGTAGACACATAAAACAATACTTGGCGATTGTCAAGATTTCCGCGTTTAATTCCGATGTGCGTTTTTCATAGCCTCGGGTATGTTTCGCTTTGGTCCCTAACCCTAACACCAACCCTGGTCAGGGTTAGGGTTAGGGTCAGGGTCAGGGTCAGGGTTAGGGTTAGGGTTAGGGTTAGGGTTGAGGTTAGGGTTAGGGTTAGGGACCAAAGCGAAACATACCTGAGGCTATGAAAAACGCACATCGGAATTAAACGCGAAAATCTTGACAATCGCCCAATACTTAAGTCCTTTGATGTGGATATAAGATAAAAGCAGACAACAATATAACATAGACAGACAGACAGACAGACAGACAGACACACAGACAGGCAGACAGGCAGACAGACAAACAGACAGACACGCAGGCAGGCAGGCAGGCA